CTCTCTCCCCACCAATTCCTCGGCACAACCCTGTATGAACCTTGAACGGGTCCTCGAGATGACTCCATCTCAACACGAGACTAGTAAACGACACAATCCTGTCGCGTCCAGACTCGTGGCAATAGATCGCTGCCTCCACTCGGGGCACTGTGAGTGATTATGCTTCGCGAATGTGATGCTGCATTGTTGCGAGCTCTTGTCACACAGACAGCCGACCGTCTTTTGCTTGAGAGGACATCATTTAATTGGGTGCTGTCCCCGACTAACTATCTGGAGATGCAGCTTCACTTTCGGCGGTCTTGGGTAAGATAGTCAGTTGGATGTTATCTCGGACACTTCCTGGCCCTTAGGAGAAGAAGTGATTTATCCACTCAGGCGCAAAACCTCTTGTTTAAAACCGATTTGTGGTGTCTACAAATTACAGCCAATAGCGGGCCCTACCCGTGCATGACCCTGGTCCATATATGCATTGACAAGAAACTGTGTAATTAAGCCTGTGAATCAGATATTTTCGACTCGCGTTGCCATCTAAGCTTGTTGGCATATCCGAGCCCTCTTTCGTTCCATATGTTTATTCATAGCTTAAAAACTATTGGTATTCGTGGTTCACAGTTGTTTCAGTCTCGTCGTTTCCCACTTTGTTTCAAGGGGAATCTGCCATATGAGTACCAGGTGCTACTAATGAGGCACAGGCTGGCGGGTATCATAATCGAAAAGCCCGTTCGCCAAGTAGGGGCAAGTCCCCCCTGTGGGCGGACAGCTCGGCTTCTGTGCACCAACCAACTCGTAGGATGCCCTGCTCCAAGGGCATCACAACTCTCCATCATCTCTAGTTCGATTCCAAGCAATGCATATGTGTTGGTGCTTCGTTCAACCCAGAAGCAGTCACCTGCCCCTCGCTCTGCCCCTGCCCCGTCCACGACTGCCACGACCGCCACGACCTCCACGTCCACCTCCTCTAGGCTTTGATCCTTGAGGCCCATTGCTAGCATGCGACCTTCCGGGTCCCTGAGAGCCGTGGTGAGATGGCGGGGGGACGTTCCTATAGTCTTGGGTAGGAGGCTTCCGGGGTAGCGATGAAAATTGTCCAGACGGAGCACCCGGTGGAGGCGGGTGTCCAAAGGAACTTCGCATGGGCGGTAGTCCGGGAGGCGGTCCAGGAGGGAGAGGGGGTTGGACCGGCACGCCATTCTGTCCGTTGTTTCGTCTCGACCCTCCATTCTGCATGTTTGGCATTTGGATGTTACTGGCCATTCGAATTTGGCCGATCGCTGGCTTCTGAACGCGTTTGTGGCCTAGAAACTCCGCTTCGGAGTCGTCACTCTCGGAGTAATGAATGTTGGTCGTCCGCACAGCGTGGCCGCGAATCTTGAGGTCGGGTGCTCTTGTGGCTCTGGCATTCTGCTGCCCTCCCGCCTCCCCTTCGATCGGCACTGAGCCACAATCCGGGTCAATATATTGATCGCGGTTCTTCACAGACCATGTAGGATTAGAGACGGCATTGCGGTGCGCATTGCAGTCCGAAGAAAAGTGCCTATCACTACCGCACACAGCGCACGATGCAGGAATAAACGCAACCTTTCTGACTGTAGATACATCCGGGCAAAACGATCGCCACACCTGTGTACACTGCTCCTCAAGGTGATCTATTGAGCTGCAAAAGACGCATGCAAGACCTTCTTCCTTGGTCAGAGCCAGTTTCTCAGTGCATTGGCCTGCTTGGTGGCCAAGTTGGCGGCATTTCTTGCATCGCTCCTTTCCAGGGCAACAGATTCTTGAGTGTTCCAAACTTCCACATGAAGAGCAGATAAGGGATGGGCAGCTCGGTGCTAGATGTGTATTCAGCCCACAGAGAAGACACATCTCGGCAGGATCCATGGCCGACGGGAAATATCTGCGCTGTTGTTCTAATGCATTATCACCGGTGGGAACATTCCGGTGAGTGTTAATCGGTGGTAAGCTCTGGGAGTCTGAAACTTTGGAGATTGAGTTGCCATTTGCAGGTATCTTCATGCCTGATGCGTACTCATCTGCGCCGTCTTCTCCAGTCCTTTCACTCTTGTTTAAGGTTGGTTCGTACTCAGCTTCACTTTCGGAGCCATCCTCGTCCCTTTCGTCAATCTCTCCCTCGCTTATGCTAGAAGCGCGTAGGTTTTTACTTTTCTTGTCAGGTTCCTGTCGGGGTTGCCTTGTCACCCAGCTGTCGAGAGTTGGCTGATTAGGCCCACAGCCGCCCAAAGAATGGAGATTTCCAATAAGAGCTTGAAGTTCGCCGGTGCTTTCGAGCTCCTTTGCAACTTGCTTTGCGTTCTTCCTCTTCTTGGGCTTCAAGCCAGCGTGGTGGTCAATATAGTAGCCATAAGCAGAGTAAGCTAATGATGAGGTAATGGCATCACATTTTCCCGGATTTTGGGCATGGAATGCCTTGACCCAGTCCTTAAACCTTTTAAGCCAGGAGCCGCCTTTCTTATCGACGAGGTTGGGAATTTTGAAGCTGGCACTACCTTGCTTGTAGTCAGGGATTTCGCCAGAATCTTCGGGTGCGGAGTCACCTGATGTGAATGACTGTGCTGAGGACTTGCCAACGGCTGTCGACTCTGTGGGCTTCCGTCCTTTTACAGATTGCTCCTCGATTCTGGGGACTTTGGCAGCACGCGCATGACTCCTCAAGCGCTTGGGCTCAGGTGTTGAATCATCCTCGAGAGGCCTTTTTCTAGCAGCTGCCGCTGCTTCGTCTCCACTGGATAAGTAAATGACCTCGCCTGGGTCGAATTCTTCAACTGCCATACCGATGCGCAACAAAATTCAGCGCGACACTTATGCGGTACCGGCAGTCCTTATCGGAGCTGAGAAACGTGCCAGCTTGAACGCAGTATCGAGTCTGAAGTGTGTTTCAGACCTTGGCGCATCCGACTTTACGTGAAACTCAACCTCAAGCAAATTTCTGAGGGCCACTTGGCTTCCTCGAAATTGTTCGTGACTTTCCTGGTCAAAGAAACTTAATCAACACTGCTCATCGATGAGCACAGGGAGCGCGAATGCATCCGAAAAGACTCTAGTCATAAGGTGGCGCGATGATTGATCATACACAACCTCCCATTTGGCTTGCTGAAAGCTAGAGGATTCAACGAATGCAACTATGAACGTACCTGAGCGTCGCGAGTGAAAAATCACTCCCGAAAAATTCTAGCAATAAAATCGTTTGTGCACGGCTTCTGCAACTTGGGATAGTATCGTGGCTGATACTTCAAGATTCGCAAAGGCAAGGTGCGAAGAGTTTATTTGATGGTGTCAGGGGAGATGTGAAATGAAAGCTGTGATGATATCGATAAGATGGCTATGTTAAGTTAGAGCCCAGTTGGGAGAAAATTCCGCAGCCAGCGAATAGGAGATGCAGGCCCACAGGAGAAAGATGTCTGTCTCATCCTCAAGTTCCGTGGCTATTTTTAAACCCCGAAGATTATCCATGCCTCTAGGGTAACCACTCCGCCATGGCTAGCCTTGGGGTTATTAGATGAATTGCCACGAAAGCCTGGATGTTCTGAAAGACGTTCGATATCAGCCGATTTCCAAATATGCACACACACCGATCAAGATATCGTGGGTCTTTGTCGGCTGTCTTACCCTCTGCTTCGTGGCCATAGTTGTCGTTCTATGGCGCCGAGGACCATCAGTTGGTCACGGTATAATCCGCGCCAGCGTCACGTTTTCTGCAACTTTGACATATCATTCCGCAGGCCAGCCCCGGATAATAGCGCTTTTTCCTCATCTCGGGTATTAAGACATGTGCTATATATTGCAATGCAATCTCGCTGGTGAATCCAATACCCACGAGGCTTTGCCAGATCTCGCTTATGTTGCATCGTTTTTACAGTCCACGAGAGAAAAAAGTGATTGCCCTGGCAAACCTCACCAGTGAGGTCACTGTACAAACCTATATCACTTAAAAAATAACACTCTTGATCCCAGTTTTCAACGTCCTGTGGCTCTTATAGACACCTAGACTGTTCTGGAGGGCTGTCATCACACACCGTATTGACTGTCAAATCCCCTGAAGAAAACCCGCGGATTCCTAGGTCCGAACGTTTTATTGGAGGTCCTGAATAAAAAAAACCCCCGGACTAACCATGCTCCAGTGGACTACTGCTGCAAGCTCACCCACCACGACCACTAATTTCAGCACTGGCTCCACTGTTCCGCCTAACCCGACCGACCCTGCGAAGTAGCCCTTAGGGAGCAAGAAAACACAAGACCCAAGTATAGGATGACAAAATAAATCCCACAAAAGCTACAATTAATACTGAGTAAGTTACCTAAATATTTTTTATCAGCTGGCTTAAGGCTCCGAGTTTTATTTCCTCCCCTAGGTAGCCCCATCCCTCGTTCTGGTTGCATTGCGTGTCCCTTTCTCTTGCTGGCTGATAGGCTGTTGCTCCTTTCCATCCTGCCATCTTATGAGAGTGGCTCCCCCTACGTTGACCATCATACGGGGGACATTGAATATTCCGGTTCGGCGGCCCCTCTCATCTCGTCCAGTCCTTCCATATCCATTCTCTTGATCCAACTACTTTCTGCTGTCTGCTACCAGTATTGTCAACTATTCTATTCTGCGCGTTACATCTTCTTACTTGGCTCTAATATCGTGTTTGGCCGACTATATCCGTTCCCGTTATCTCCAGCATCAATCATACACGGCTGCTCTCTTTTGCCCTTGCACTGGCCTCCCATTTGCCTTTGAACGCCTTCGCCGTGACATCATTAGGGGGAGCAAGTTACTTACCTTTGAACTCAAACCGTCCCATCTTTTATCGACGACGCAAACTCTGGGTGTTTGCACCCGTGCTGTTCTTCGCCGATTCTCTCCTCCTCCCACTCGACTTACGCCTTCTGCAAATTGACCTGTCAATACCGCCAAGCTGTCTTCCCCAATCTTACTCCAGCGCACCGTCTCCTACGACGCGGCGAACAAGACTCCGCGCCGAGGCAGCATCTATCTCAACATGCCCGAACGAAACGCAACAGGGGGGGCTGGAGCCCGAAGGAGGAGATCTAGCAGTATCCTCCAAGTTTACCATGAGCCTCCCGAGACTCTTGAACAGATCAGCGACCAAGCTTCCCTGCCTAACCTTAACGCCAACTGGACAAATGCTAAAGGTATGCCTGGCCCATTTTTGCTGCGCATCTGTATCTTCACTTGCACAACAGTCCCCGAGAGCCATATGCTAAAGTGTAGTGCCCCTTAGGTGCCTGGACCATTCATTTCGTCCTGATCGTATGCGCCAAAATCATATTTGACGCCATCCCGGGTGTTTCGCAGGAGACTTCATGGACGCTTGTCAATATGTCATACATGTTTTTCTCTTACATCATGTTCCACCATGTTCGTGGCGTTCCCTTCGATTTCAACAGTGGCGCTTTTGACAACCTTAACATGTGGGAGCAAATTGACAATGGCGCGCAGTACACGCCCACCAAGAAGTTTCTTCTTGGTGTTCCGATTGCACTGTTTCTCGTCAGCACTCATTATACGCATTACGACTTGACATACTTTACTATTAACTTATTGGCTGTCCTGGGAGTCGTCATCCCCAAGCTACCCTTCGTATGTTGCCATGCCACCCCTCTATTTGTTTGCGTCTCCGCATCTATAACATGTTCTCTTCATTTTGTTTACACAACATACTTTCTCATTGGCGCCATATGCTAACATAAGCTCAGAGCCACCGAATGCGATTTGGGCTGTTCTCAGGTCTACCAGAGGAATAGGAGACCGAATAGGGAGCAGAAACAGGCAGAAGCAAAATAACTACCATGGGACCGATTTACTGTATTAGTATCAGGGGCGTTAGGGTAAGATTATCTTTGGCGAGAAAGAGAATTGGGGGATTGCCAAAAACAAGAAGAGGCCGAGATTGTGCAAGTTGATAGCGAGCAGTATTTACAACGCGGCTGGTGGGCGGAGTGTTCGGTCGTTCAGCGGTAGCTTCAAAACAGCAATTGGATTTGGAATCGGCATGTTTCCCAACAGTTTGCCATCCCTTGTTCCACTCGATGGCCGCTCCTCATCTATTATCCTTCGATTGATCCGCCTCTTACACTAGCAGGATATCGGTCGGCCCCTCCGTGTTGACTGGGAATGCTCATAAATAAGAAGTCATTGGACTGTTCTCAAGCATAAACGAGTGCTTACCGCCTCATGGAGTCTTGATCGTACGAGGACACAAGCCTAGAGATGATTCCATGGCGACATGGCGTTCCGTCACCCAGGCAATTGGCTTCTCCTGTCGTATTCCGGAGTCATATTTGCAGTGAAAAACTCAAGTTCCCCTCTTTCAATGGAAAGTTCATTGACAGCATACCAAGTATAAATCAAGGATCTGATCCCGGCTGCTTTCGTCTTCCTTGGAGTTCTCCTGCTTCCTTAGTTAGTAAGGCACACTCCAAGGGAAGTTCTCCGCTCTCCTTTGCGTCTACTTTTTGTTTCTAAACACTGCATTACATCAACATCAAGCATGAGATACAACGCTCTGGCCTTCATGGCCCTCGTCAACGGCCTCGCTCAGGCCAACCGTTTCGACTGGCAGAGCGAGTCCAAGGCTGATGTTGCCAAGCATGAGCACAAGGACGCTGCCGCCCCTGTCTTTAAGGTGGAGGTGAATGAGGGTCAAAGTGCTGGCAACAAGGACCAACTTGAGGCTGGAAAATTAAAGACGGAGGGGGAGAAAGCTGAACAAGCGGCCAAGAAGCTGGAGGAGAAGCTGCAGAAGAAAGAGGATGAGCTTGAGCTCAAGGCTGCACAGGCTGGAGGAAACCGCCATCACCACCACAGCCACAGCCACTCCTCATACTCCCCTGATCCTACCTACGATCCTGCCACAAAAACTACTGGATATCATCACCATCACTCAGGCCACCTCCAAAAGGGCCCCTACACGCTTGATGGAGAGAAATACGACTATATCCATAAACCAAAGGTCCACTTCCACACCTCTTACACTACCCATGCACCTACTCTCAGTCCTGGATGTGTCGGTGACAAGTGTGTTCGCAAGCCTTGCAAGGAATGCCACGGCAACTGGGCACAGCCTGGCTGCTGGCACTGCAAGGCCCTTGGAGCCACTGGTGAGGAGGTTGCTGAACAAGTAGCGAAGACCACCAAGCATGCTCCTAAAGAAACCAAGGCCAAAGAAGAAGAGGAGGAGGAAGAGGAGAAAAAGGAAAAGGATCCTCACGCAAAGACATACACGCATGGAGACAAGACTATCATTGTTCTTAAGGAGACCAAGGCCCCTGAAGCTACTCGACCTGTGGCTCCTCAGATTGAACAGCCTCATAAAGAGGGCCCTAAGGTCATCGTCATCGAGGAACCTAAGAAGAAGCCCGAGGAGGAGAAGAAATCTGCAGAGGAGAAAGGGGAGAAAGAAAAGTACCCTGATGAGAAGCCCAAGCATGAGTACCCCAAGGAGGAGCCAAAGCATGAGTACCCCAAGGAGGAGCCAAAGCATGAGCACCCCAAGGAGGAGCCTAAGAAGGAGGACAAGAAGGAGGACAGGAAGGAGGACATCTGTGACAGGGTCCATCACCATGGCCAGCCTAGCATCTGTGACAGGATCAAGCATCAGCACCACAAGGTCGACGAGCCCAAGAAGGAGGACATCTGTTCGAAGCCTGAGGGTTGCCATCCCCATCACGCTCCCGCTCCTGCTCCTCACCACGAAGTGAAGCCAGCTCCAGCTCCTGCTCCCGCCCCTCACCACGAAGTGAAGCCGGCTCCGGCTCCGGCCCCTCATTACCCCGAGCAGAAACCTGAGGTTCAGCCTGTCCCCATCCCTGCTCCTGCTCCCCAACAGCCTGAGCAGAAGCCTGGAGAGGGCAAACACTACAATGCTCCCTCAGTTCCTGTAACAGTGCCCAAGTCCGGAGCCACCTACAACCGCGTCTCTGTTGGTATCGCCGTCTTTGCAGGTGTTGCCAGCATGATGCTTCTGTGAGCTTCGGATTTAGTCTTGTAATGAAAGGGCGCTGAACGAAGAACCACCGAAAGGGATACGTTTGAAGCGGCAAGATGGTGTTTAGAAAAAATTGGTGTCATGTCTGCAAGATCTTTGGAATAGGGCCTTTGAGATTATCTTTGGATTCATAGATGACTAGTAGCTTTCAATTGATCGTCCCCTCCTTTTGTTTACTTCTCTCACTTAATGAAGAGAACCGCACCCATTGAATGCCCGTTTACCGGCGGGAATTTAGTCGGAGTAAGGATCGGATCGAGAGGCATACCGCCGACCTAATGCTTTGTCATTCCAAGCTGACGTCAATGTCCTTACCTAACAATGCGGGGCAGGATGGGATCTCCTGGAAGCTGTAGATGGGGACTCCCATACCTACCTAGTACCTAGGTAGGTATACTCCTAAGTTAGGTAGTTGTGGCATATTCCCCTTAAGGAAAAGCACGATTTCGACCATCTCATCGATGGTAGGATTCATATAATCTGACATAGAATCTCTATTGGAGACACGGCATCCAGATACCATAAACTACCTAGATTTAAATAGAATCTGCTGAACCGTCAAGTCATGCTCCTGTTACATTGGCTTTCGTTTCCCTCCATGTTGGCTGTAGTCTGAGATCTTGCTGCACTCTGTCCATTTGGCAGAACCCCCTCCTTCGTGGTCAGTTTTATCTCCGAGCTACAGTACCGAAGACAAAAGTATAAAACAACGCTTTCAGGCTTTATTTATTTCCTCCGACATCCAAAGCCTTCAGAAAACATCCTTCTCGCAATCAAGCCAAGATGAAAGACAACAGCATTCCTCTTTATACCTCGCCGCACCTGGGCCAAAAAGTCACTGACTACGCAGAGCAACACTCGACCCCGTTACCCAAGCACATCAGTGATTACCATGCGCATATCTCTGCCAACAGAGAGGACTCTTATTATATGAGCTCTGTTTTTCAGTCTCAATATAATACCTTTCTCGCAAAATCTATTCGTGCTACAAGGGGTAGGTCAAGATACCTTGACATGGAACAAGATTCCCTGAGGCTTTTCTCATCAGCCAGGAGAGCACTACTGATCACCAGCCAATAGTTCTAGAAATCGGGGTCTACGTTGGCTTCTCTGCCCTCGTATGGGCTGACGCTGTGGGACCGAGTGGACTTGTGACTGGCCTGGAGTTCGAGCCTGAGTACGCTGAATTATCCAAGAAGGCTTTCGCAGCCAACGGAGTCGATAATGTTGAGATCATCGTTGGCCCTGCTTCTGAGTCGTGAGTTATTCAGATATGTATCATTTTACACACTAAATTACTGATGCTCGAATAGTCTACCCAAACTCAAGCCTACGGAGCCCTATGATCTTGTTTTCATTGATGCAGACAAGACTGGTTATCCGGGATACTTGAAGCAACTGCTCGAGTTGTCGGAGCCTGGTAACTCGAACAGAATCCTTCGGCCAGGCGCTCTCATCGTCTCAGATAATGTGCTGCGTCGAGGATTGGTTGCGGACGACAAAGCGGTCGGTGATGACGAGCTCAAAGGTGATCAATTGAAAAACGTTTTAGCTGTGAGACAGTTCAATGATTTGGCACTGCAGAGCCCACGACTTGAGACACTTCTCCTGCCGTTGTGGGATGGTGTAAATGTTTCCCGTCTTCTGGATTAGTGGTAGCACTGTCTCAACTGGAGGAGGATCAGAATGGTATATGGTTATATATATTAGGCCTGAATAAATATAAAGACAAGAAAAAAGTCGTCGTGACACATCCTAGGCTGGTACCGTCTCCATTAATATTCACACTTCATGATTTCGTATTTGGAAAACCATGTCTGGCCATTGTCGTATTCCAAATGTTGCTATTACACCCCCCCTTCTTCTGGCTGGCGGCAAGTATTTGATTATGACAAACACTACCGAAACGTAAATTGATTAATTAGTAGCGGGTGGGAGAAGAGTTGTAGGCCGCCATCTTCTTGTTCTCGCGGTTGCGGCGACGGCGGCCAGAACAGCAGGTAACGAAGACGGCGATAGTGCCAATAAGGCAGAGAATAGCCGCGGCGAGGACGAGCCAGATACCAACAGACCAGCGAGCACTGGCAGAGGTGTCTCGGTTGATACGTCGTCTGACAATGGAAAATCCAGCGAAGTCACAAGCCAGGGCAATGATAGTAACAAAGAAGGCCAGGAGCGAAACAAGCGTGGACATGAGGGAGCCAAAGATGCCGGCACCAAGAGCCAGAAGGAAGGCAATGAAGCAAAGTCCAGCACCAATAGGATGCAGGACCATGACATATGTTAGGGCCTTTGCAGTGTCCGAACCAGCCTTGGAGAAGTCGGTGCCGGCGACAGCATTGGAAGGATCGTAGCCAATGCGAGCGCTTGTACAGCTATCGCTACGGGTTATTAGACGACGAAATCAGACACGGTGGTGGTATGAACTTACCTCCCGCTGCTTCTTGTGACACAATACCCAAAAGTTCCGAAATTCACACCATTTCCTCCTCCAGAGTTGCCGTTCAAGTTGACCTTGAGGAGGGCAATGTCATTGACAACAGGGGCTGTAATGCTCACGACAATGAGCATGACTGTTGCTGCCAAGAGAAAAAAGGCACCAATATGGTGAATGAATCGTCCCAGACCCATTTTGATGGTTATGGTATGGTATGGTATGGAAGTAGTGGTAGTGTTGAGCGTCTGCTCCTCAAAGATTGCAGGAAATTATGCAGTTATGAAGAGGAAACGAATCCGCTTGCCGTCTGGAAGTGATGTACGAAGTAAGACAATACGAAAATAAATGGCAAGAAACCGAAAGAAGCAGGCCGAGATATATAGTCACTCGGTCATATGAGGGTTCCCGTGTCATGGATTCATGGAGCCAATGCTACGAACCAACATTGTGCAGAGTCGTTACATGAGACGTCATCACTAAGCCCTGTTCCAGGTCTCGTGTGTGCCGAAATCCGTCATGATCAAGGCCAAGACAGGCTATATCGTTGTATAGCATCCTCGTCGCAAGAAGCCGTCTCTGCTACGTAGTGACGTAGAGTTGGTGGCTTTGGCCGAATCGTGGCTCATCTACCGGGGTGTGGACCGCCCCGAATTTCTTGATTCGGGTGTCTCTTTTGTGTCAATTAAGTTAGTAAGATCAATCTTGGCCCTTTGACCCTGCATTTCAGACAAGACTAACCCAACTAGGTCACATCATACCAAGATCCTTGCTTGGAAGCTCTACTTGTTTCTTTTCCCAATCAGCGTCACACTTATCTTAGTGTGAACTGTAATGTGGTTCGGAAAAGCAGGGTGGGTGAATATCAGACATCAATACGGCATGGAGAAATCGCTTGCCAGACTGCTCGGTGAACCCCGTTCTTTGTCTAGCTGTCTTGCATGCATTTGACAGTGTCCTTATATCTGTGCCTGGGTTCATGTGTAATCCTTTGTCCCAGTCCTGCGCTGCATATTGCGATAAGTAGTCAAGATCTGGTGCAGAGAATGAAGCGAATCGTCAACATGGCTGAGTTAACAAGGTGGAGAATTGTAGAAATGTGTTGCGCAAGTGCCGCCTAAGCCTTGGGCAATGAAGCTGAGATTGATTCAGATGTCTTGGTCTTCGGAAGTGGTACGCGTCGCTTGCTCATCCATCCTTAATTGCTGGCGGGGCAGTATATGTTCTCGACGCACCCATTCTCCCACTGCCTGCGGTATTGGGTTTCTAGGCGGTGTTTTTATCTTCGTTGGAATCCAATTGCGGGTTTCTAATCTGTCAATCTTTCTGGAATCCATTGCTGGTTCGTGTCCGAAATCAACGGCCCAATGGCTCAAGCCCCTAGCTGCGATACTATTAGGGAGCGACTGTTGTAGAGTTTCTGAAGCAAGAGTCTTATTTTTTGTGACAAAGTCTGGCCAGACGCTAGCGAGAAAGGAGCTGGAGCTGCCCTTATGATTATATGCGGGAGACTCTGTTATTTCGATGACAAATTTGTTGTCTTCTGACCTAAAAGACTGCGAAGGCTGCTTTTCAAAACGCGGTTTTAGCCCGTCAACTTTCACGACAGACCTTGGCTCCTTGCAGGATGAAGGAACTGTAATGTTGACTGGGCTTGAAGAGACGGCTTTGGTGGCAGCTTCACTTTCTTTCATCAGTGATATGAAGGCAGAACCTTGACCCTACAGTTAAAATAGTCAGCGATAACAGCTAGTGTCCACACAGTTCGATTTCAGCCATACCGGCATGAGCTTGAAGAACTCTACTGGGCCATATTGTTCAAGCGCTCTCAGAACAGAGCGTCTCTCAGCAAAATTGACTGGCGCGGGCGAGACGAAGAGACGTATGGAGCGCTTCCCGATTTCTATATTTTTGAGATGAGTCGTAGCCATAAGCTCAGTTTTCGCGGCCGATTGGGCTGCTCGGTAGGTTTTCGAAGCAGACATGTTGATGTGAAGAATTCAATGTTAAGGAGACGATCCACTGGGCTACATTTCATATTTAATTTGTACAGTAGCCCGACTTCTCCTCCACTATCGGCTCGGCTTCGGTGGGGCCGGACTCCAACTCAGGTACGGCCAGAGCTCTTCACCTATCGGATCCATCTTTGTTGCTTTCAACCTGGAGCTCCAAACATTTCGAGCCGAACCAGGGCGACCTGTCGTTAATCTCCAGATTCCTTGCCGCGTGTTGAAGCCATTTCCGAAAGTGCAACTTATCTGTCGACACGGCGCAGTTTACATCCTCCTTATATAAGAGATACAAATCTATTCGCGCCCTCACAAGAGGGCATCATCACTTTCGCGATGGCGACACCAACAGCCGCAAAGCATGCTTCGCAGCAGGGCCGTACCCCCTCGCAACTCGCCGCCGCGACTCCTCCTGTATCAACTCCCTTCTCAAATCCTGCCCATGTTGTCTTTTCGCCCAGGGGACCACGATCGTCCCCTCAACAATTCAAGAAGTCGCCTGCCGCATCAAGCTTGATGGCGCACGCATCTAATGCTCCTCTTAACTTCGACAGCCCTTCGACAGCCGCCGCAATGGGCGCCCTTGGAATACCCAATGGGCTCGATATGGGACTCGATAATGTCGGCGTTGGTGGCCTGGGCTCTTTGGGTGCCCTGGCGAGTGAGGACGACAAATTGAAGCGCCTGGAAACGATCATAGCCACATTGGATGTAATTATAGTGCCCCCTATGCGATCGGACGTCTTACTAATTCAGTGTAGCAGAAGAAGGGACTTGTGAGCGAGGCAGGACTCGAGCGCCTAGCGCAGCGAATAGGGCTGGACTGCCTTTCGGAGGATCATACAGCACCCGACGGCCGAAAGCAAAGAACTCTTGTGATAGCGGGCTCAGCCATTCAGTTGGAAATCACCCTGCACAATAATATTGTCGAGAATATATCACTGGCCTTCCCAGAATCTGCTCGCTCCGTTACCGACCATGTTACCCGAGCAAGCGAGATTCTCTTGAGGGACTTGCAACTTCTTCCCAACCAGAGCCCACTGACAAAAACTCTTGACAAGTTTGCGGCCAATCTCGAGCGACTAGCCGTCCTTGACAAGCTTAGCATCATCCCTGGTCTCGACTGTCATGAGGCATTGGCTGGTATTTATGTGAGCTTAGAAAGGCTTCACCAATGGGATGTTGCTCGACTTCGTGATGAGCCCGGAATCGGTGGCAAGCCGGACAGTGAGCTGTCTACCATGGCGATGTGCACGCGACACGGCTACCCCGTTATGCATTCGAAAGACCGAGTGGGCCTTGCACTCCAGTACTGGAAGGCCCTTCGCCTTGTACAGCCAACCAACACCAAGTTGGCTTCATTCGCTTCTTCTCATGAACCGGTCTGGTCCCTTCTCATCGGGTGTGCTTCAACAGGAGGCATGGGCCACATGCCTGTTCGCGTCTCTGAGGACTGGATCTCCAAGGATGTTGTGAAGGCAGAGCCCTCGATGGACCCTAAGCGTCCCAATCTGGACTGGCAGGAACCCGATAACGTCGTGCTTCCGCACTCAGAAGAAAACAAGGATGCTAGCATGGAGATGCTCCAGCCAGATCTCTCAACAGCCAGGGTGCCACAGGTTATGTTCGTCGCCACCTTTGACCCTCCTGTCATCCTGCCCCAGAACGACTGGCTCCGGTTGCACTCATACGCCAATGTTAACGCAAACCCATTGTTTGGGTACTCACCAACTTTTGACAGTCTCTTCTTCCCTATCCCCCCCGGAAGTGCTCAGGATCCTAGCGAGCTCCGTGCAATCTCTCGCAGCCGTGATGTCCGCATCTACAACAAAGATCAGAAAGCTATCATCAAGCCTCATCAGAACACACTGTATATCTATAAGCAAATATATTCACAAGTGGTGACTGAAATTCCATTCTCTCATCCTCAGCAGCTCATCGAAATGCTCCCCTTGCTTCGACAGTATGCGTTTGTCGCAACTTTGCTAGAGAACAGCTTTGGATCACAGACGAACCAACTTGAGAAATTACCCAAACAAGGAGACACCGCATCGCCGGGGCCGAAATCCAATTTAACTACCAGAGATGAGTTGGCGGAGTTTATGAGCTCAGCTTCTGTGACTGACGAGCATCCTGCGGCTGCGCCGGAGGTCAAGCTTGACGTTACGCTGTGGGTTCATCCGATTCCTCACCTTCAAGTTGTCTTCCCATTCCGAGATTCCACTGCCAATATTACCTTGAAGGTACTCGAGGACGGAATCGTGGAAGTTGTCGAGGAGAATGTCATTCCCCGTGGCGAGGATAGTAGAATGAAGGGCAAAGAACTCACGCGGGCAGATTTGGGAAAGCTGCTAGAATATATGGAGGATCTTTGCAAATGGGCAGAATGGATTCGGACAAGACTTGCATGAGTCGTTGAGACTTGATATGGTGGTTGAACAGGAACTAGGAGTTGAACGATACCCTTTAAGTGTCATACAAAATGGATAGGCGGAGAAAACTGAACGACTTATGCTACCATGGTATGGACCATACTTTTCCTCATTACACGACAAAAAACCTGACTTCAACGTTGCAACATGAACATAATAGATCTCAAAGCCTAGGCCTAGATCTAGTCATCAGCGATGTATCCCCTCAGTCCCACCATTGCATCACGCTGCGACTTCCCTTCCTCCTTAATCTTCTTCACACGAATTACGCTGCCGTCCAGAGCGCCTATGGCACAGCTGCCATCGCCTTGATCCCAAATTGGAGTCTCCAAGACAACCCCAGTGTCCTCGAGGAGGCGGACTTTTGCTCCATGATTCCCGATATCCCTTGAGGATATGGTCTCGACATCTTGGAAAATCAAACGCTTTTTATCTCCCTTCCTGTTGACAGCATGAGTCCATACGGACCCAAGAACTCGTATCCTTCGCACAATGTCGTCCCCTGTCCACTGAGTCCATTTTATACGTCCATCAGCCTTTGTGACCTTGGGCGCGTGTACGAGATGCTCGTCGCTCAGCTCTTCTGCTCTCCATCCTGCATTCCGGCGAGGCGGCACATAGACTCCATCTCGTAGACCTTGAATTAACATTTGCGCTCCAATTGGTGCCAGGAGACTTGTCAGTTCCTGGACGGTGCAGCCTGGAGGTATCGATATTCCGGGACGGGAGGTTTGAGACAGGACAGTTCCATGATCGAAGGTTCTGTGGTCTAATGTTTGTAATGAGATTCCCGTGTAGTCATATCCTTGGAGAATCGCATGGTGGATAGGAGCAGGCCCACGAAGACTAGTTTAGGTTTAGGTTTCTGGTGGAAGTATGCGGCATGAGACTTACTCAGGTAGCAGAGAAGGATGGACGTTGAGTCCGCCATACTTGGCCGAAGTTAAGATCCTGGGCGGGACGAATAGTCCGAAAGACACTGCTATCACAAGATTTGTTCCTTCAGGGAGCTACCGTTTTTAGTCACTGAGTTCCCGGGAAGTGCTCAGTGAGGAAGCACGCAAACTTACATCCCATCCTGTGAAGGTTTTGCGCTGGTGAATATTCAATCTCAAATTCTCTGCCAGCAACTTACAAGGTACTGAATCGATATATAAATAAGCACAATATCGTGTTTTTCTCATAGATTTGGCGTACCTTCTCTCAGTGTTTTGAAACCTCTTCCCATGCGTCGTGGCGGCAAAACCATTACATCCAACGATTCTACGAGGTTCTTATTGTGGCGATGCTCTTCGTGAAGAGCTTCCAGAGAAGCGCAACTGAACTCATCAGATCCGCAGAAGAGAATGCGCAGCGGGTCTGGCGATTTTCGAGTCACATTTTGCGAGAAGAGCCTTCGCCATCGAGGAACTCGCACATCGAACAATGATCTAGATCTGGCAACGGTAAATAGAATCATGCTCTCACGTTAGTATCGAGTCACTTGGTTCTGTTCGTTATTTGTCGGCGTATCAATAAGGTTAGCAGCTTGAAGTGACACTATAAAACAATCGCGTTTGTTGCATCTCCGCTTATCTGCATTGGCTTTTTTGGCATGAAGAAAGACCTGTCTCACTTGCTTGAACCGAGCAGAGCCTGAGGAGGTTTCAGAAGGAACTTTACACCATACAAAAGCCCTTGCCATGAAACCTGGCAATTCTATCAAGTTCTTTTTGTGCTTTATTTGTTCTTTGTTTATTTATTTGCTGAATAGGCGGCTATGGAGCAAAGTCACCACTCATGTAAAGGCGCGTGTTGTATACACGCAGTTTTGGAAGCGAGCACAGAACTCATGGGCTCGGCTATCATGTATTTGAGAACTAGATAGGTTAGTAGGTAGCCGGCAGAAGCTGGAAGAACCTGGTATTATTAGGTAATTGTGAACTGCGAACCAAAACTCAAGACCGTCCAAAAGTAATGTACGTGGTTCAGAGGCTAGATATTGAGGCTTATTGCTATCTTCATCCGCATGAAAACATAGTTATCTAGCTAATAACTCATTACACAAGTCTTTAGTTGGCAGTTCAACTGCATTGCTATGAAGAATCACGCTTGCTGGAGCGATGTTTAGGTAGTCCTTGGTGATGGCAAAGAATAGTCAAGTCTTATACCCAGCAACTGGGTCCAGACAGTGGATAGCTTGTTTATTTTGATTTATTTAGAAGAGATCATCCACGGCCTTATCAGCATCTTTTTGGATCAACTCGACCATACCCTAGAGGAGACTGTTAGATTCTGGCGAGTATGGTTAAGTGGCTCCACAAACCTTGGGCATGACAGGCTTGCCGTCTTCACCCTGTACATATCGGAAGGGCATCTCGGTGCTCTCGTGTTCGTTGAATTTGAGCTCAGGGAAGTCCAGGTAGGGCACCTGATCAAGTGGCACTGGTGGTTATCATAAGCTTCCGAGCTACAGGGGCCAATAGGCGGATAACGAACCCTTGTCTTGAACAACAATACGAGTAACCCGGACGGCCGTATCTGTTGTCATCTGCTTGGGGCCGAGTCTGCGACCTTCAAAGCCTTTCTTTCGAAGCTCTGAAGTACGGTCTAAGATCTCTGGTCAATATGTATCAAACAAAAAAATTTCCTCAGCGTCACAAACCTCGAGGAGGATCATCGCCTATCACACAAACATGAAACGTTAGTGACAGTACGTCTACCGTTCCTCATGCATTGTACGTACCAAGGATGCCTCCAAATAAGAAGGCATCAAAGCTCTCACCATCCTCAGGAGAGAGATCCTTGGCGGCTGATGGATCTAGCAGACAAACTCGCGACTTGTTGGCGGCGTAGAGCTCCTCAACACCACGCTGCTCAGCAGTGAAGGCGGGGTTGCTGGCCAGGTCTGCTGGAACCTGGAACGCAGAAGGCAAACTGGAGAGGATGAAAGAACCATGAGCCGCTTGTGTCTCGCGTGCAATGGCCAGATACTCGAGTTCGGACCAAGGGCCTAGCTCTGGGTCGAGATGCTCGACAATAAAAGTCTTCCCAGAGGCTGCCATTTCTTCTTTGTTCTCTGGCGAGGGGCAATGCTGAGGAAAAGTCAGTGGCGCGTACGCTAGGCAAGTAATGGTGGTAAATACTGAAGGCTTGTGCTATTGATTGCTGTCTTCTGATATTGATAGACGTTCAGTTGCACCTTGAATATAGGACTTCACAAAAGTGAATGTGGTGGAGACTCTGATTGGTTTAGTTGGAGGGTTGTGAAACTCCCTACCTAAGGTACCACCTTTATCTATCTGTCTACCTGCCTGGGTAGGTACTCCATAGCTTGAAAGTTAGTTCATAAATAGGCCGGAGCAATAGTGATTATCCAGCAGATGCACCGAGATTTTTTATCCATTCCTCTCGCCTTGCCAATATTGCATACCGCTACATCTTATTGATTTTGAACTTGGTCATAAATAAATGTGGAAGAATATCAGGGAAAACAACAGAGTAAGCCAGTGACGATTGATCATTAGGTTGAGGTCATGCCGTCGATACATTGAATAATGCATACCGTTTATCTGACGTTAGTACCGTGTCGCACTATTGGTGCTGTTATGTCCGACGTTCACGAAGCTATTTCTTATTGAGTACCAGTAGGAGCAAAGTCAACAGCGCCACGATACTAAAGAGACAAACATGCCGGCCAACAGGAACTGGCATAAGGAAATTAAAGATGATGTATTATTGATTGCGTCGGAGTAGAACAAAATAAAAAGAAGAAGAAGAAACTGTGTGGTACTTATGGACATCAAAGGAGTAGGTAGTCCAAATTAGAGGCAAATGCCCGGGCAGTAGACCCCTTGCCCGGAGGAATTACCTCCCTACCTCATCCACTGCAACCAGAATTAAAGCGCCAAGCCACAGCTGCGACCAGCGACAGTACGGAACCTAAGGCGAAGCTACAGCATCGCCCCCACTAGAACCCGTCCCGGGGTCCCGAGGGGCCACCTCATCTCTCCTGGACTAACGTACCTTAACTTAGGTCCCAAGTACTGGCTGGATTGTCCCTTTATCAACCAAGGCACCTTCATTCCAACAGCAACTCTGATTGCTTTCCATGTCTTCGACGACGACGAGGACCTTCAATTCTTTGTCTGTTTGATCTTCACATTCCGTCCTCTTATAAGTACTCGCCCTTCCTTTCTGTGTTCTTTAACATCACCCGCGGCGTCCTTCGTCCGCAACTTCATCATGGTCCTCAAATCCATGATTCCGCCCCCGAGACGATGGGCCGCCCTTGTCTCCTTCTGCCTCGCACCAACTTTAGCCATCGCTTTAAACGACGCGACCGCAACAAAAGCTGCAGCTGCCGACTACTATGTTCGCGACCTTCCGGGTTTGCCCACCGATGGGCCCGATGTCAAGATGCACGCTGGGTTAGTCAAACTGCTTCCTCCCTTTGCTCCAGGCTTACTGACGCATCTGCGTGTCTTTTAGTCACATCGAAGTCACCCCAGATACGCATGGAAACTTGTTCTTTTGGCATTTTGAGAACCAACACATCGCTGATAGACAACGGACCGTTATTTGGATCAATGGTGGACCAGGCTGTAGTTCAGAAGATGGCTCCATGATGGAAATTGGCCCCTATCGACTCAAGGATCAAGACCATTTGGTCTACAACAATGGCTCGTGGAACGAATTCGCCAACCTACTGTTCGTCGATAACCCTGTAGGCACCGGCTTCAGCTCGGTTGACACCAATAACTATATACACGAACTCAAAGAAATGGCGGATCAATTTGTCAAATTCCTTGAGAAGTGGTTCGCTCTGTTTCCCCAGTACGATCGCGATGATGTGAGCAGCCTCTTCCTTTTGGGCATTTCAGTTTGCTAAGAACAACGCAGATATACATCGCAGGCGAGTCTTACGCCGGACAGCATATCCCATATATCGCTAGGGCTATTCTCGATCGCAATATGAAGAATCCTGCAACCGCATGGAA